TGATTTTTAGGGTGCCACGAGCAGACATGTGGAGGTGCACCGCCAGTTCGGAACCTGGTCTCCAAGGTGCCAGGGAGTGTGCACAGTGTACAGATCCTCCCAATTCCACGCCGTTTCGCCGGCCCAGGGGCGCATCCAAAAAGGGATCCCAGCCCTTCTCCACGGTGAACTGCGCCGCACGCAAGGCCAACAGGTCCTGCGAGTGTGCGAGTACGGCCATCGGGCACAGGTTCAGTCTGATACCACTTGATGCACACAGGATTTCCAGAGAATCCTTCGAGGTCATTTTAGCCATGAGCCCTGGATCACCCATTTCGATGTAAGGGATCTACCTGGAGTCGACCCGTTCGTACCTCGGAAAATGGGTACAAGTACCTGATTTTTTATGGGGTCATGCCCCATGTTCTAAGGTACTTGAAGTCGGGTCCAGGTAGAGGAAAACAAGAGCAAGGGATCTGCATGAAAATGACGGGATGTAGCGATAGAGAAACGCGATTTTTGTGCCAAGGATCGGCCGTTTCCTAATGACATGTCCACCCATTCTGGGCTCAGCTGAGTGGGCCTCAGCTAGGTGTGCGACAAATCAGTGGAAAACAATGGCCCTCTCTGATCATGAACCTCACTGGCATAATTCTGGTTGAAATTATGCAGTAGCGGAAGCAAGGCTCTGGAAATCTCCAAATGAGCCTGTTGTTGAAGATATACCTGAATTCCTCAGTAACCCTAACCAGGACTCTTGACCTCAAAACCTCTCCGTCCTTGCCTTTAACAACTGGTTCATGTGCTCATGGGGTGGGAATCTTGAAATGTCCCGTTCAACCTCCTTTGAGTTGACACATCATCTTGGAGATGCTCATCGGAGCGTTTTGCCTGTGCGCGAACCAATAGACTTCTAAGTGCCCAATGGCAGTTCCCGAAATTCCCCAAGCAAGGCTTTGTTCTGAACGAGGGGCGCCGCCTACGAACGGCCGCGCGTTTTTATCGACGTGTTTCGCCGCGTCTTTTTGCGGGCCTCCACCATTTTTCGGGGAAAGAAACGAAGTGAATGGGAATGCAACGATCCATGGTCGAAGCAAATATGGCCTATTATGGCCACGACTGGTGGGGTGGTGAAGTCCACCGTGGATCCTTTTGGGCTCCGACTCGAAGATATCGAAGTGGAGATCATCCCCAGTTGGTGGATGTCGGTCGTCCGAGCGCTTTCGATCTCCACGTCCCGGGGGGATCCATCCGACCCGACGACCACTCCGCTCGCGTGGCCCCTCACGGCGGAGGAGGACGCCCGGACCAGGGGTGTCGAACTTGATAGCCCCGAAAAGAGGTGATTCGGGATGTCCATGAACCACCCCGACCGTGGGTCCTACTAGTAAAGCGTCCGATCGTTCCGATCGTTCCGTTCGTAGTAAGGCCAGGAGCCCCGTTCGTAGCGAACCTTGCTAGTGGCGATGCCCAGAATGCTCCGTTCGTAGCGTCCTTCAAAGCGGCCAGCAGTTTGGAGTTGCAAAAGGCATGCGCATTCCTCGTCAAACAACATCAGCCGACTCATCACAAAGAGGGTGCACCAAGTCACTAAGTAAATCCTCCCTCAACATGGATTGACATCTGGAATCCAGCACTAAAGTCATCGAAAAGCGTGTCACACGATCACGCACAATAAATGCAACAAATTGAGCGTTTGAAGATCAAGTCGCGCAAAAGGAGTTACCTTCAAAGCGTTGATTCGGTGCAATATGTAGGTCTACCACGTGATGTTAATGTCTGCACAATTCATGAAAACCACCAACACATGTACCAAAACACCAAGGGCCGGACTCCCAAACTTGTTACGAACTTTTGCCCACGTGATCTGCGATCCGCTGCTGCCGGGGTTCCAGTAGACCACATCTCGATCCAAATCCATCAGCGCTACATCCGCACCCCCCCCAACGCCCCAGCGCCGCGCCGCTCCAACGCTGTTACCAGCACGGAACGACCCGACCGAATGCCGCGTGGAATGCCGCTCAAGCCGAAAGGAATGGGACTGGAGGAGGGTGACTTTAAGAGCTGCGGCCAGAATCGGAGGTTGGCTGCGATGGGGCATCCAAAGACAAGGGTCAACTACTATGCGAGAGACAATTAGGAAGAGATGTTGCGCAAATTCAGGATTGCTTAGTTCGGCTCGCCCAAAAGCTTTTCCCTGAACTTTTCTTGGATTCCTTCAAACACATGGTGTTCTGAAGTCCTTACTAACCAGGACATGATGCGCAGCTGTGATGCGAGCATGAGGTCGGCAGCGTTCAGCACCGCCAAAAGCACGTGAAAAAATGGGCAGAACCCCCCCAAACAACATTTGGAGTGAAAAAATGACAGTGAATCAGGATGCTTCTATCCGGTGCTGTATCTGTTGAATGAGACTTAATCCCCAAGATCTGGAGACAAATCTAGAATGAATCTGAGGTATCTCCATTCGGACGATCAATCCAATCTCTAGCAGATCCGAATGGCGAAACGCCCCGCTTCGCCTCGTTTCGGCGCGCTTTTTGGACCTCAATAGCCACCCGTGGCACCTGAGCCCGCTGCGCCCTGCATGCCCTGCATGCCTTGCCTGAGAATTGGTGTCCACGAGCGGTGGAACAGTATGGGATTCCCCGGTGACAGCACCCCACGGCTCCCCACGGTGGGTGTGGCGTGGCTCAAGCACGCAGACGAACACACGGAGTTGGATGGCATGGGCACAACGAAGCAAGACGGCTTGCTTAATCTACCAGTAAGTCCTTCTAAGTCTAGGTCCTAGGTTGCCACTTCCATCTAAGACATGTTGATAGAAAAAAAAAAACTATTCGCACATCGATTCGTTTTTGTCGTTTTCAGACCCCATGACCTAATTCACGACCCCATGTTGTCCACTTGCTCGTCTCCATTAAAACCGCCGGTGTCGGGCGTGGGTGCGGGTGTCCTTGGCTAGTCGACGACATTGGGGGGGCTTCCTGACCAAACATGTCGTTCCTGAAAAGTCACACCATCGACCGTTTCCTTTAGGGAGTAGCGTCACCAAAACTGGAATGAAACGAAAAGGCGTGTTTCTTTGGCCATTCAGGATGGCATTGGCCTCTGATGGCTTTATGCTTTGGGCGGCTCTCCACTAACACACACACACAAACACACACCTGCCCCCACAACATGTCCATGGCGCGTAGGGTAGGCTCCACCGTAGGCACTGCCATAGTCAGCTCCATACGTGCCAGGCACTGCAGTGGCACCGCTGCCATATGCCCACGCGCCGTTGGGACCGACCTGGGGGTTGTACGCGTGATAGGTGTCTGGTTGATAGGCATGAAGCGAGTCGCCACCTCAGTGCTCACCCCAACCAACGATTGAATTTCCAGAGGAGGAGATTGCTTTTACAGAGCTGAAAGACTTAGAAATTATAGGTGAATTTGGCTTCATCATGTTGATTGATCATATGATGACGATGACTCTCTGAGTCAAGATTGCACCAATTCATATATTTTGGAACACACTTGTCTGGCTTTGAAGGGTCACAACCTCCTCAAAAGGTCGGATAAAGAATGATGCACCTCTCTTCCCATCTGTTTCACCTATACCAGCACCCGACTTCACAGGTGCTTCCTAGTGACAAGTCGTGCCCAGAAATCACCTGTTAGTGGGTCTCCAAAAACAGCCTGGCCAGGAGGGTGCTGGTATATATCGTCTATTCACTCTTCACTTCCCTTCACTTGACTCTTCACGACTCTGCACTTCGACCAATTCTTCGATTCGAGTCGGTCTTCCGTCGATCGAAGGCCACTCCCGCCACCCCATCTGCCCCTCCCCTCCCGCCACCCACCGGAGACCACCAACCAACCACATCCACCCTGCTCGATCGCTCTGCTCGACCAATCCGTCCACCTTGGCTCCAAGCAGCCCACCGTCGGCGGCGACGACGCTTTGCGTGACCGAAAGTACCACCAGGCGAAGGCTCCGCCACCCAGAAGACCCACGCCCAGCGCGACCTGCAAGCGGGGGCGGGTATTTCGGGTTGGCACAGGGGATCCAGTGGAACCCAGTTGAACCCATGTTATCCAGGTTTTGGGACACCTAGCGGGAGTGACCCGCATGTGGCGGTGGACTTTGCGAAATGATGGCAGCTATGGCGTGGTGGGGTATTAGATGGATGGAGAAGCTTTAGCCAGAAAGTCTTGGACTTAGCAGGCATCTTTCTGCATCTCATAGTAGCCCATAGTAGCCAGGTGTTTGGGGGATACTTACCTATGGAGCCCATTTGACACCTTTTGGAAAAACAACCCATCCCAGGACACCTGAGAAAGGGGTGTAGTCTATTGATAGCCCCTGTTCGAGGTTAAGGGGTGTCCATTAACCACCCCGACCGTGGGTCCTGGTATGTTGGGTCATTTTTCGGCTCCAGGTCGTCACCTCGCAGCCTCGGTCGAGGTCTGGACCGGTCATGGTGGACAGTGCACGGTGCGCGATCACCACGTTGCTTGAGATTGGGCAGCCATTCATACTTGTGACATGGCACCAATTCATTTCACACTTCTGAAAATGAAAATGACCGCCCAAAATCTCTCAGAACCGCCCAAAATGGCTCATCAGGCTGGCCCCGGCCCCGGGAGCTCGGAGCTCGGAGCGAGCCGCTCTCTTTGCCATGGCACGAGTGTGATCATGAGGACATTAGGCCCTTCGGAGTGCACTTTGCCTGGGAAAGGCCCGGGAGCCCAGCCCGCAAGTACGAGGCTTCGTGAACATGGTAACAGCAAACGACAGGCAGTCCAGGCATGAGTGTCAGGGTGTACACAGGCACTGGGGCTATGTGTTGTGTGTTTTTAGCTGTTAGTTTCTTTTTTCTGCTGTCATCTTTTGGAATGACGTACCGACTGTTCATTGCTGGGAGGGCAGCTCGCAGCTGGGAGGACCTCTTCCGCCGGTCCTGGCAAACTCCGACCGAACCCTGCGGAGCACTGTGGACTCCAGGAGCGAAGAGCAATGCAAGGGATCTTCGATGATCTTCGTATAAAGTACACTCCCGAGTCAACTAACATAGACCCTGACTGGCTGGCTCCCTGGAAGAGTGTAGGCTCCTCTACCAACCAGTGGTTTTCAGGGTCCATGTTAGTAGTCTTCTAGGGTGTATCCAGAAGTCGCATGACCACTCACCAGGTACCTCCCTTCAACATCCTTCAATGAATAGCCCCTCTTGGCCCTGTGGACCAGCTGGAACCCTGGAAATCCAGCCGGTCCGGACATGAGACATCATGAGACCTTGGGAGATGCCAGTTGGACAGCGGTTTTCAACGGCCAGGAAACTGAACCCCTTGGAGGAGCCAAGTCGAACCCCCGGGGCCCTCCATATGTGGTTTCATCTTCACAAGCGGACCAGCGTCCGCGGCTTGCTTGCCCCCACTTGAAACACTCTAGTCTGGCTTCTTGTTTTGAAGGCCGATATGGCCGAATGAAATGATGTGGAAGGTTCGGATCTGTGCCAAATTCAAATCACAGGTCCGCTCTCCCACCTGCATCGCACGAGATCGCACGCACGCTGCCAAGGCCGTGCGCCACGTGGCGCCTCTCCCAGCTTGGCGCCTCAAAGCTTGGCGCGTTTCCACTGCACCAGGGCAATGGCGTGCCAGCAGCATCCCAGGCAAATTGCGTACACGCTCTGTGCTGCACAACAAGCGATAGCTACACAAGCATTTGGTCATGAGTCATACCTTCACTCTCTTCAGCCTCTTGGGGCTCCACTCGCATCACTGGACGCCATCGCGCCAGAAGCTGCAGCCAGAACACTTGCAACGCTTCCCTGCGCCGCTCAGCCCAAAGCACTCTCCAATCTTACTTGCAACGGCTTGCTACGGCTTGCTTGCCACTGGTGCTTCTGGCTACGCGTGAACCGAGCCCTTCCAAGCCCCTGCCAAGCCTTTCGCGCTGATGGCCTTGCATGTAGGCTTTGGCAGCAAGCCTTGCAACGTGGCGGTCAACTTGTGCCGCCTCTGCCACACGACTTGCTTGAAGAAGCGCGTCCCAACTGCGCACAGCTGCCGCAACCGCTGAGCGTGAACTTGCTCAGCACAACGCCAACACAGCTTCCACCAGCCTCTTGCAAACACCCGCGAGGGTCGGTGAACCCGATCATCACGGCCATCACCATGACATGACGGCGATCCAACCAAAAGCCTCAGCAAACACCGCACACCTTCTGTTCCAGACGTCACCCTGCACGTCTGCCGCTCCTCCTCGCGGCCGAACGCGGGTTCGTTGGGCCCAGCTAGAGCGGCAGCTGGAACGCCCCCAAGGCTTCACGCCTCGCATCGCACTTCGACCGGCGCGTTCTGCGAGAGACTCGTCCGGCCGGAGAAGGTTTCCGTGAACTCCGCGCGGCAGCGAACTCGGCGCCAACCAAAGGCTTCTTCGAAGTGTCGGATCCAGTCCCAGTGCTTGTTAGCACTTTCACAGAGGGGTGTACCTCCAATGGAGGATCCATCCTAGCAACTTTCTACGCGAAGAGACGACACGACCGCACCCAGCACATGGCTCCTGTGGAAACATGAAGGTGCAACACACAGCTGGTGCCGGCGTGTGACATTGAAAACGGGCCCTGCGCATCCCTGCCCTGCACCAATACCTGGTCAAAAGATGTCAAAAGTATACCTTTACGGTGAATCTGCGGAGGCAACACAAAGCTGCGCCCTGAAGCTTCCCCACTCGCCCGATTTGCGAAGCCCAATGGCTGGGGATGTCCGGATGCTGCTGCGCCAAGGTCCGAGCTGCAACGACCGGGCACAACAGGAATCGAGCCAATGAAGCCATCAGGGGACGAATGAAGAACCCATCAAATGCCAGCCGTCAACGGATACCTCACCTTCCTCCACATTGACCACGAAAGACTGCGCTCTAATCTCCGACACCAAAATGATGCAGACATACCGAGCATAAATGACTGCATAAATGCAAACACAGGAGTTGCGCACCTACTGAATGTTGAAAAGCGGTCTGAGAAAAGAAAGCTTACATCAGAAAACCCTGCACCATCACGTCTACAAGCTGAAGTGGATACATGATGTTACAGTCGTACCATCCATCGTTCGTACCACTTTGGAAGGTCCGGACCCGCTGAAATCCGGTCCAGTGTGATCTACACCACCCACCCAGAATCCCTTAAAGGGTTACCTCAAACTGAAAAACCGTTCCTCATGCGCATGGATTGCAGAACACCGAACAGCTTCACGGCTGATAGAGTACCAGGGTTCCCACGTCAATTCGTCCGAATTGGTCGGTCCACCCTGCAGCTTTCAGCCAAAGGTACTGCCCCAGTTGCGGCACGTCTCATGCGAGAGCACCAGTGGCGCTGTGGACCGCGACAAGGTTTCGGGGAAGACCTGGCCGGCCGGGACAAGTGGGAGAACTGTATTCACTGATCCCCCGTGAACAACAAGATGGTGGGGTTGGGGAAAGAAGAATGAAAGAAGAATGAACATCGACCCCTCTGCGATTTTGATAATAGGCCTTCTGTTTCCTAGTCCCATCGTCGTTTTTCCATTCCATGGGTCGGTGCGCCCACTTCCTCAGATTCTAGGCAGCTTCTTCAGATTGATGTGCCCTCTGCGTGCGGCCAAATGGCCCTGGTCCTTGTAATCCTACAGGATCTGTTGTAGGCATGCTGAAACGAAACTCAATGAGGGTACACTCCCTGGAATCATCATCGTTACGTGGAGAGCACTGGAGCTGGGCAGTGGAGGTGGCCTCGTTTCAGGGGCCCGGCTCCAGTGCTCCCAGGCCCTCGTTTCCACCTCCCTCTCACTTCGGAATCCTCCCGTTCTTTCCCTCATTCCCGGCCTTCTCGTACATGAACCTCAGTGACGATGGCCGATCATTTTGGCCGATCAACGCCGAGAATGCCCCACAACGCCAAGGCACCACGCCGAGAATGAAACAGACCCTAGCGACAAGGCTTCCTCAGCTTAGGCATCAGTTTGCTGGAAAACCACCATGACCAAAAACTCCATGTCCCTCACGTTCGAAGCTCGATCCATGATCATGAGGCGAAACAACACCTCACCGAACCCACGCACCGAACCCGCCCGGTCCAAGGGCTTTCCGGGTGGAAAAGGACCAGCTCAGGTGGAGATAGCAGTCATGGCGTATGTAAGTTTTGCAGGGTCAGACACTTACATGCTTTTAAGAAAAACAAGGAGCCCCTACCCAACCAGGTAGATAATCAAGAATTTGGAGTGCCACCCCATGTCACATTCATGTCACCCCACATGAGCGCGTTGACAAACAAAATGCCGGGAAATGAACACCCTGGCTGGGTGTTAGAAGGCCTCCCCATTTAAACATGCACACCCACATCTTCAGGCACCTAGTAGGCTTCCCGGCCCACAATTGATTTAATAAGCTTAAAACCGAATCAACTAAGGATTATACAGGTTTTACACTATACAAAAACCAGGTCAACCATCTGTTAATGGTGGAAGTCCTAGGCCTAGGCATGCTCTTGGTCATAGTTCTCCGCATCCGAACACCGAACCTCCACGGGCTGAGCTGCTGAAAGAATCGCTCAGCATAGCTGTCCGCGGGCTGCGCCGAGATCTTGCGTCCCCAGCCGGCCTGGACGGAGGCAGGATCCCCCCCAAAGGGACGAACACGGGACTTGCATGAGGAAGGTCCACCATGCAGTGGCTGAGACATGCAGTGGTTCCTGTGGATCCAATCCCGTAAGACATCATATGAAGTAACGTGACTAGGAATGTGCAGGTCAATCACCCACAGCATACCACATGCTGTTTTTGTTGGGGGTTGCGCGCCCGGCGCATCACACCGGCGCTTCCGGGCGTTTTTTGTCGCGCGATGGGTAGATCTCCTTCGTCGCTTCACCGGACGGACCCACAGAAATGCCCAGAAACGCCCATAGCACCTGCATATCTGGATTCTATAACCCAAACACGACTACTGGGACTGCCAGTCCGGACTGCCCATCAGTTGGGGTGGTAGAAGTCGGGGTCAATGGGGCGGCAGTCCTATGCCAGTCCCCGTGTCTGGGTAATCCATCTTAACCGGCCACAGGGCCACAAGTATACCTCCTCTTCATATGCTCAAACGGAGGTGAGCCCGTGAGTGCGTACTTCCGACGAAGTGGGGCCGACATTTCTCAGGATGTTCCTGGACCCGGACACAGAACCGTTAAAGCCACAGCTCCAAAACAGCTTCGCTTATTGTGTATATCCTATTGCCAGGGCGTGGATGATGGTTAGGTGCCAGGCCTTTCTCCAAATATATATATATATATATATAGCGCACATGAGTCAATTAGCCTTTTGAACATGAAAAAGGGCTCTTTAGCACTCAGGTGCTGATTCGCCTGGTTGCGGGTCTTGCAGGTCATTGCTTTAACACCGACTGTTGGTTGTCTGGGACTCTGGATCCCCCTCCACCCTGCCGGAACCGCCCGGAACCGGCGCAGGCGCTCAGCTCGGCACCTTCACAGTATACTCCGCGCGGCTCTTAACGTCGAAGGGCCTTGGTGGGACCACGGCCGTTAGGACCGGCCGTGTGAGAACGGGGTCGGATGCACGTGGTCATGTCGTAGTCACGTGCCGAACTGCGCCGTGTCATGGCAGCTCTTGTTCGAGAATCCGTGGCGAAGTATGATTTCGGTCGAAGTTCAATCTCAACCAGCACCCTCCTGGCCAGGCTGTTTGGAGACCCTAACAGGTGATTTCTGGGCACCTGTTGTCACTAGGAAGCACCTGTGAAGTCGGGTGCTGGAAGGGTTTTGGTGTGAAAGAATTGGAGGTGAATGATGACATGGATCGTTTGGGTTTAAACTCTTCGTTTCACCTGATCCATCGCTACTCGTGGCCAGTGGATGATGCGTTAGTAGAGAGCTTCTTCGAACACATCGAATAAGTGATGATCGTTTACCCACTGTTACTGGTAATGCGACCAGTAAGTATAGACCTCTGGCACACCACCGGGTCACGACCGGGTCATGCCGCCCAGGGGCTTAAGGAGGTCGATGATTCCAAAGCACTGGAAGTAGACCTGCCGAGGTCGTCGCTCACCCGAACGACTGAACCCGAACGACGCTTGACTCGCGGCGCTCCACGTGAACGGACCACAGGACCTCAGGACCTCAACATCGACAACTGGACCCTTGGGACCTCGGTCCCACATCGGAAGGTGTTCGGATTGTTCCAGACACGGCCTGTCTGGGACTGGAAATATATATATATATATATCAATCAGTTGCTTGCGGTGGTTGAAGTCTGGGTCAATGTAGATATATGTGGCAGTCACATGGAGTGTCTGGGTGTCCTATACTTGAAGCACGTTGTAAAGGCCACCCGCAAATACCTTCTCGTACCATCTTCTGGGGCATGCGAACTGGCATGCGACTGAGAAACTTCTTGATGACCTCCTTGGTCATGGCCTTCGTCGTTACTTGTTCGACGGTTTCAGAACCCCCAGCCTTCCAAGACCTCCAAAAACGAGGTTGACCTGTTGCTTAGCAAAACAATGGTTGTTCAGAAAAGCCCATGGAAGCCTAGGGGAACTGCTTGTTTTTTTTCACCCACCCAGCCTTCAAGCTGCTTGTGAAGCCACCCATGCCTTAAAAAGAGCCGGTCCAGCAAAACAAACACGAGTTGGCTTGGTGAAGAATGGGCCAGGTGAAAAAGAAAACTGTTTCGTCGCTCCTTGATTTTGGACCTATAGTAGGACCCGAGAACTGGATCACATGATCTGCGACCGATGACAGCTTAACTTCTTCAGTTTTTTTTGGGGGGGTTGGGCTTTAAGATGCAAGATGCTTTAAGCAGCTCGATGTATTCATGTGATTTCATGCGCATGTGTTTCTTCGCTGCGCTCCAAAGTATGCGGCTGCAATATTGTAACCAGCTTCTTCAAAGTGCCCTCTAATAGAAATCACTTAGCAAGAAATTTCCACATGGACACTTACATCGTGATTATCAAGCTAAGTGACCTTTTGATCAAACACATACATCGAGATATATCGAGAAATTGACCATGTTGTCCGACAACACACCACTAGAGCCACTCAAAATATCAACAAAAGACCATCCATGGCCCTAGGGGGATGGGAAAGAGTGGAGAGCGGAAGAGTTCAGCTCGAAGATCTTGATCGCTGGCATCCTCCATCAGCACCTGCAGGCTCATGCTTTGGATGTGAATGGCAGGTCATTTCAGGGACATTGAAGGCATGTTGCCAATCCCAGGCCATGACCATCGAAACGCAAAGGGATAGTCAGGCTAGTTGTCTTTTTTAGGGAACAGCTCTTGCGGTGCCATGGATGAAGCTTTGGATGATCCTGGCACAAAGCTCAATGCCCTATCAAAGGATGGGCAGTCCCTTGATTTAATATGGTCCATGGTTCAACTATGTTCAACTGCTGGCCCGAGCTGATACATGAATGAGTGCATGGACCCCTTTAAAGTTGAGCACTCGGATGGTAAGGCGGCTTCGCAAAGCCATGATGAAGCATCTTCCTATGTGGTGTCAGGAAGAGCAGGAGCTAGTTCCAGGTGGTGACCTTCGCTTGGCAGGGAATGGATGGCTGAGGAAAGCCTGGGATGGATGCACGAGGATCAAACGGGTACCTCGTGAGTCCGAAATCAGGAAGGTGGTTTACCAAATCGCCAACATGACTGATGTTTGCACCTTGCTTTCACTTCATCTATTGGTAGACTTAGGGACTGTAAAGGTGGCACTTTGAAGAAGCTGGTATAATTAAGTAGGTAGACCTAGGGACTGTAAAGGTGGCACTTTGAAGAAGCTGGTATAATTAGGGTACAGTGTTTCTTGCTGCATGCTTTCCATGATGGTTGATGCGGAGTCCTGATTTTCCTATCCAAGGTCCCGCGAAACGTCGATCTGAGAAGGAAGCTTGGGTCCGTGAACAGGTGCCTGGCCTATTTTTCGTGTGGGCCATGAACCATTGCCAGAGTGACATGTTAAGTTAGCCATGCAGTTTATCCATCAGGCACATCGGTGCCATCGGGTTATCTCGCGGCACAAAAAGCTATCTGGTCGACCCTCTACTTCATCCAGCACCCTGGGATCCAGCATGCAGCTGGGAAAGCCAATTCGATAGCGTTCGATTGTGTTTTTCTGGAATGCATTGTCCATGGGTAGAACCTACAAACATGCATGCATGCGTGCACGTGTGTGTGTATATAAGGAATCCTGATGAGGGGGAAACCCAGCCGATGAATCTCGATTTTCCAATTTTGGACATGTCCGCTATGCAGCTTAGCTGAATGTTACAGTTGGCTCATGACCAAGCTGTTTGTATCTTTGAAATTCTTTGAACAATTGTTCTGCGAGCCTTATCTCTTCTCAACCACTTTGATCAGCATTCCCCCAAGGCAACGCTCTGGATCTTTTCCTGCAGAAGCCCCTGCAAAAAAGCCAGCCTGTGAGGCTGGTTGGTATATTACTTCAAGTCAGTCCTTTGCCCTGTAAAACTGTTACCAGCCTATGTTGGCCAATGTTTGCCATGCATTTGCTCTGCGAGGATGGTGAAGGAAGCAGTGAAGGAAGCGAAGAAGGAGGCAGCTCAGAGAGTGAGAAGGAAAGTGAGGCAGAGACAAAAGCGGGAAGCGAAGCAGGAAGTGAGGAGGGAGAGAGGGGTAGGGGAAGGAAACGAAAAAAAATTGAGCCTCCCAATTCTCCAGCTCCAGTGATCCATGGGGTGAAGAAGGGTGCAGTGCAGGAATCAAACAATGAGGTGGTGAGAAGCTTGCACTCCGAATTCGAAGATGCTGTGAGTGCACCTGAGTCAGAAGATGAAGGGGCTCAGGGTTCAGGTGAGAAAGAAGAGGAAGCTGAGAAAGAATCTGCAAAAGGTTCTGAAAGAGGAGGAGATGAGGCTGAAAAAGCTTCAGCTGAAGATTCCGAGGGTTCAGAAGAAGAGGATGCAAAGGAGGCGGCAAAAGATGAGAAGGACGATGATGTGAAAGACGCAGGAAAAGATGAGGAAGAGTTAGAACTAAGTCCAAAGGGTACAGAAGAGGATACAGAAGCTTCTGATCAAGAGTCGGAAGAGGAAGGAAAATCAGTGAAGGAATCCACAGTGGAAGATGCAAAGAAAGGAAACGAAGGAAAAGAAGAACAGGAAACGGATGAAGAAGATGCGAATGACCCTGAAGAAGGAAATGCAAAATCAGAAGATTACAAAGGATCAGAAGCTGCAGAGGGTCTTGAAACAGCAAAGGACTCAGAAGATGACACGGAGTCACAAGAAGAAGGCCAGGACTCAAAACATGAAGATGCAAAGGATTCAGAGGATGACTCCGCATCAGAAGGCAAGGATTCCGAAAAA